AACTAGTCCCACTACCCCGCTCTTACCCCATAGCCCTGCACATTTTCCTTTTTAAGCACCTATCTAACTCCTCTTTGAAAGTTGTTATCGAATCTGGTTCCTTTTAGGCAGTGTATTCGAGACCGTAACAACTCTGGGTAAAATAATTTCTCCTCATCTCCCGAGTGCAAGTTGTCGTTGAAGAGATTGACCTCATCTTTGCAGCAGCCAGGAATGAAGCTTTATTCTTGATCGGTTAGTGTTGATCTACAAATGGTTACTGTCATTTTCTCAGCAATCAGAATGGCTAATAATTAGTTGTTAATGTGCATCATAGTTAGAACAGCTGTAAAGATGAAGCTCTCAGCTTAAAGGAGGATTGCAAGAGAGGTTCGGCTGAAAAAGGCCCTTCAGCCCATTTGATCTCATCTTGCTCGTAGAATTTGCCCATGTGATTTGAGATGTCTCGAAGATGTGAGAAGACGCTAATTAAATGCAATGATTATTATCTTTCCAGAATACCTATCCCCAATTGTGTTCTTTGTATAGCATCAAGCAGTTTCTTAAGTGGCCTTGATCACCCTTCAAGGTCACATGTTCCAGCTGTTGGATTACCCTGATGTCTGTCCTATAGTCACCCTTTCCACCACTGAACTCATGCCCTCGTGTTCTGGTACTCAACAACTTGGATTTATATAGCGCCCTCCACGCCGAATGGCGTCTCAGAGCGCTTTGAAAGCACTCTGATGTATCTGAAAATATTGTCCCAGTGTAACTTTCTCTATCAGGAGGTATATACAAAACTTCCTTATAAGGCAACTTTAGGAATGTGAAGCTTGACACCAAACTGCAAACAACCTATGTTATTAGTGATGTCAGCGAGACTGATGAGAATTCAGATTTCAGTGGGTGGAAGGGGGAGCAACAGTTGACTGGAATCAAAGAATATGATCAAATCAGCTTTTGTGATGTATTATAGAATTGGGTGTTGGGACAGAGCACTGGGACAAACCCAAGTGCTGTCCAACTTGCAAGCCTATGAAGGTACTGAGATCAATTAAAAAGTATATCCTGAAGGTTGGTATGGGACAGTATACACCTCCCAAGAGAGCAAGCTTGGAATGTGCCTAGGCCCACATTTCACTAATTCAGAGGGATGCTGCAAACATCATATCAAAATGGCTTTTGCCTCAACCTCTCATTAAAAAGTACCCGCACAAACTCAATAGAATAAAAAGCCAATGATCTGAACAGAGGCAACAGAGACACTGGAGGCAATCAGTAGGATAAAATGCATGACAAAAAAAATACGAAGAGGTCAGAAAAATAGTCAAAAAAACAATTAGGAAGGTAAAGAGGAATTATGAAATGAAATTATCAAGGAAAATAAAAATAAATAGTAAAATATTCTACAGACATATAAATAACAAAAGAAAAATTAAAATAGGATTAGGGCCACTAAGGGATGAACAAGATAAGCTCACAGGCCGCGATAGCGAAATGGCAGAAATATTAAATAATTACTTTGCCTCAGTATTCACCAGGGAGACGGATCAGGTGGATATGATAGTAGAAGAGATCAAAAATAATATAAATACATCTAAGATACAAAGGGGAGATATAATCAAAAAACTAACAAAACTTAGAGAGGATACGATCCCTGGTCCAAATGGATTGCATTGGCGTATATTAAAAGAATCGAGGGAAGAGATACCAGAGGCACTATTACACATATTATAATAACTCTTTAGAAAAGGGAGTAGTACCAGAGGACTGGAGGATAACTAATGTTATACCTATATTTAAAAAGGGAGACAGAACAAGACCAGGAAACTATAGACCTGCCAGCTTAACCTCGGGGTAGGAAAGATAATGGAATCCTTACTGAAGGAGGTAATACAAAAACATTTAGAAATAGAAAACATAATAAAGAACAGTCAGCACGGATTTCAAAAAGGAAGGTCATGCTTGACCAACCTTATTGAATTCTTTGAAGGGGTAACAGAAAGTAGACAATGCGGTAGATGTAATTTAGTTAGATTTCCAAAAAAATGATTAGTCAATAAGGTACCACATAATACAATAATGAATAAGGCCAGAGCATGTGGCGTCAGGGGGACAACAGCAGAAAACAGCAAGCTGGCCGCAAAACAGAAAACAGAGAGTAGCGGTAAAGGGTAGCGACTCAGACTGGCAGGGGATAGGAGTGGTGTCCTACAAGGATCGGTATTGGACCCACTGTTGTTCCCAATATACATTACTGATTTGGATTTGGGAATCAGCCGTACAATTTCAAAACTTGCAGATGACAACAAATTGGGGGGAGTAGTTAATACAGAGGAGGACGGCAACAAATTACAGTAAGACATTAATAAACTTGCTGAATGGGCATTTAAATGGCAAATGTATTTCAGTGTAGAAAAGTGTGAGGTGGTACATTTTGATAGAAGGAATAAGGAAGTCACATACATCCTGGAAAATGAAAACCTAAATAGGGTACCTGTGACCTCCTAACCCCCTACCAACCCGCCTACTCCCTCCGCTCAGCCGGCTCCTGTCTGCTCCTCGTCCCCGATCCACTCGCCCCACCATTGGCGGGAGAGCCTTCAGCCACTCTGCCCCCAACCTCTGGAACGCCATCCCCCAGTCACTCCGCCTCGCCCCTTCCTTAGCCTCCTCCAAATCCAGCCTCAAAACCCTCCTCTTCGACCATGCCATCGGTCACCCACCTTCCCCTCCCCTCTCCCTCCGACTCCAGCTCAGGTCTGAAATGCTGTACTCTGTCCAGCGCCTTGGGATGTCCTCTCGACATGAAAGGCGCAATACAAATGTAATCTTGTTTGTTGTTGTTGTAGAGGAGCAAAGGGATGTAGGGGTATTTATACACAATTCACTAAAAGTAGCAACGCAGGTTAATAAGGCTATAAAAAAGGCAAACCAGGCATTGGGGTTTATTTCTAGGGGGATAGAAATGAAAAGCAGGGAAGTAACTTCTATAAAACCTTGGTTAGACCACAGTTAAAATACTGTGTGCAGTTCTGATCCCCACATTATAGAAGGTTGCAAAGGAGATTCATGAGGATGATCTCGGAGCTGAGAGGTTATACCTATCAGGAAAGGCTGAACATGCTTGGACTCTTTTCCCTTGAAAAGAGGAGGGTAAGGGGTGACCTGATAGAGGTCTTTAAAATTATGAAAGGTTTTGGTAGGGTAGACATAGGGAAGATGTTTCACTTGTGGGGGAGACCAAAACCAGGGGCCATCAATATAAAATAGTCACAAATATATCAAATAGGGAAGTTAGAAGAAATTTCTTCACACATAGAGTAGTGGGAAAGTGGAACATGCTACCACAAGGAGTTGTTGAGGTAAATAACATGGATGTATTTAAGGGGAAGCTAGATAGATATACAAGGAAGGAAGGAATAGAAGGTTATGCTTAGTTGAGGAAGGGCAGGAGGAGGCTCATGTGGCACATAAACACCGGCATAGACCAGCTGGGCCGAATTACTTGTTTCTGTGTGGTATATTCTAATGTATTTTAATGTAATGCTTTTCTGTAGCCACAGTAGATCGCCAGAAACGGGCACAAAAGGTGGCTGGGGGAAGAAAGAGACATTCAACACTGAAGCTCATCATTTGAGTGAAACTCTTGTATAAAGAAAACGTTGTACAGAATGGAAGGAATAGGAGATTGCAGAGGTAGGTTGTTGCGATCCCTTGGAGGTATTTTAAGATAAGAGCTAGGATCTTAGTTGATCCAAATTACACAAGACCATAGTCACACATTTTTGGAGTTAAACATTCATGCAATGTGTTCTTACAGCCATTTGCAGATTAAAAAAAAACTCATCTCCTTTATTTGAAAATGTAGCCTTTGATGCAGCAAGTTTGTTCAGTTCAGACATGTAGTGAAGGTGCATTCTCACTCACTTTGTCCATGATAAATTAGAGGAAACTTTGTAGAAGGACTGGAGAGCACTGTGCCATGATCCTCATTCTACTCTGAACAGTTCTAATATCTAAAGGAGCCTCTTTGAAGTTGAGCTGTCAGGTGCAAATCCGATCCGAGTAAACAATACTTGCACGTGAGCAGAAAAAAGCACACTTGTCGCTGGTTTAGAAGGCTGTGTGAATTTGAGCCTCATGCTAGGACTTTAATAGTAATAATCCTTGCAGTTGATTCAGCGCCTTATCACATCGCTGAGACAATGCAAAATGTAATACTTATCGCGCTGCACTGTTAGAGATATTTTTCTAATGTCACATCAATTCTTTTTGTGATTATCTTAGTTTTAACCTCTCCTTATTCACTTGCTGACCGGTGGAAATGATCTAATGTTGTTTATCCTCTAATAACCCTTCATAATCCAACCTCTGCTCCAATGAAAACAGCCTTGGCTTCTTATGTCTGCCTTCACAACTTTGGGGTTAAAGATACCATGACACTATTTTGAAGACATCCTGGTCACTATTCCTCCCTCAACCAAATTCACCAAAAAAGACGAAATATTAAGCTGCTGCTGCAGATTATCTGCCATTGCTTTACATAACGACGATACTTCAGAATATTTTGTGAAATGTTTTGATGTGATACGTACAGCAGCTATATCAAATACATAGATTATTAATAACTACCCTTTGCTATGTTTACAAAATGTAATTTCCTGAGTTAATCAGCACCTGTGATTTATAAATTGCATGGAGGCTGCCAAGCTATGATTTGGATTTGATTAGGAGGCAATTCACATCACTTATTAATTAAAATTTTGATACAAGACTTTTTTGATCTGAGAACAAAATCAGTCACCGTGTCCACGGCAGTTTTTAAACTTTTGATTGTCTTGAAGAATGATGTCCAGTAGACTTGGTGCATTTAAAAAAGCATTCTAAAACAGTGCAATATCAATGGAACATTTTAAACAAGCCATATATCTCCCAGATTCTGACAAGGTTAATTTTCCAAATAGGTTTCCCCGATTCTGTGAATTAATCTACAAATAGCAACACATTCTTCTTACCTCTGTGTCCTCTTCATTGTGCAGGGGCTGAGTGTAGGAATCTGGTTTACGGATAAGAGGATCTACAATCATCAGGAACGCCATGTACACTAGCAGAGCGCCAACAACCGTCAAGTAAATAATGATGGTCACCTGTCACATCAAGAAACATTTTAAAAACATGCAAAAATTGCTGGTCCTGACACCATGACCCACTTTACTGCTTAATAATGCTTGCATTTGATATAGCAACTTATCATGGTGTCAAGATGTCTTAAAGCACTTCATAGGAGTGGTTTTAAGCCTAACATCAGAACTGAGTTTGTAGTGTAGGCTGTGGGAGGGCTGCACTGCCAGAGGCGCCATTCTTTGGATATAATAATAATAATGCTTGCATTTGATATAGCACCTTATCAGGTCTTCGAGACATCTCAAAGTGCTTCACAGACTATATTGGAAAGTGAACTGACTATATTTTGTGGGCTTCCACCAGAACCGAAAGACTGCTGGACGTTACAAATTTTTTTTTGGTGTCAAACATCCCATTGCTCTTCAGGGAGAAGGGATTTTCTCTCAGTATTTCTGGCCAACAATCGTTCAGATAAAATTGATCCTTCAATTTATGGTTGTTTGAGGAACATTACTATGTCCTGCAGCATTAACCTTCAATTACAGTCACTACATTATATAGGCATTCCCTCTGAAGTGCTTTGAGACATTTCAATGTTATTTCAATTGCAAAAAATATTACTATAGGTCCACTAGATATTCTGGGTAACAATATTCACAGATGGAGATGAGAATCCAAACATTCCCCAATGAACAGTTGCAGTTAATGAATCTGCTGCACAAAACTGACGAGAATCTGTCCGGAGTGTGAGTGGGACATAAAAACAACATATGCAGCATGTATCACAATAATAAACAGGAGATCTTATCTCAGAGGAGATAGGTAGTGGTGTGATCACTTCCAATAACTCAACTCTCTTTGAATAGCAAATAAGTGGGGGAAATAAATCTCAGGAAGAAGGGATCATGGCATTCCACAAATAAAGAAATACAAATAATTGATCAAGAGAAAACAAAAGATTATCCAGTTGTTCTCTGAATAATTGGGAATATGAGGAGGAGGGTACGAACAGAAAGAAACTAAACTTTGTGGCAACATGTTTTTACCCACCCCCAAAGTGAGATGTAAATGAGAAAAAATGAGGGAGTAAATAACTGGGGGAAAACATGAACAAATCCAAATAAAAATCAATACAGTGGCATTTTTTTCAAATCATCTCCCTCTCCAAATCATCTCTGAGCTGGCACATTTAATATAGTGCTTTATCACGTCATTGAGGCGTCTCAAAACGCTTCACAGAATATTCTGCAAAGTGAATATTTTGTGGGAAAAACACGGCAGACAATTACGCACTGCAGAGTCACACAAACAGTCATGGATTGTTCTTTAATTTTTTAAAAAATATCCTTTATTTTTTAACATAAAAGTTAATTTTGATCAGAACACAAGTTAATCTTATCAGACTGGAAGGGGAAGTAAATGGGGCTGCCCTGAGTCAGTTACAAAGACAGGAAAGCTAAGGACGTACCTTGATTGTAGTGGTGCTTCTTTCTTCATATTTGCACTCACACAAGAGACAGTATGCCTCCACATCTCGTCCCGGCACTGGCATAGGCTCCACCACATGCAAACAGTTACTGAAACAAACCAGTATTGGTATTACTAACATCACAAACCTTCAAACAAACTCCAAATAGCCCATTAGACGATATAAGGAATTGCATTAAAATCATGAATTAATTATAATCCCATATAATTAAACTACTCAAGATTTTCCATTGAATGTATTGCTAACAGCAAAAGCTTAATAATGAAATAAAAAAGTTCTTTCTCTCCCCTTCTTTTGAGGATGGTTCAACCTACAGGCCAGCCGAGATCAGCAGCCACAGCACTCACACCCAGTCACATTCTGTCCTATTGGCAATTAAAGTTAATGATAAGCATGAGACAAGCACTGGTACATATCCAGTCAATATTGCTTACTGCTGTTGATGTTCAGGCTTTGGCTTGCAGAGGTGAAAGCATGCCTACACTCCAGTCCACACTGATGTGACGGAAAAGTTGATTAACTATCAACAAAGATTAGATTACTGTGAAGTTGACTGTCACCTCAAAGCCATTTTAACCCCGGAACAACTTTGCCTACTTTCCACTTCCAACCTCCATGAAAACCTTTCTTGCCTTTTCTCACATGAATGTGTGTTGCTGATCTTCTACATCTTATCAGAATAATAATCATTATAAATGAAACGCCTAGAAGATATGATAAGGAGCTAGATCAAACGCAAGGATTATTATTTGATTCAGCGCCTTATCATGTTGTCATCAAGACGTCTCAAAGCGCCTCACAGGATACAACTGTAAAGAGCAATGACTGTATATTTTGTGGCTTTCCTCTCTTGGTTCTCCAAAACTACAAATAAATAGTGCCAGGTGCTCTGCCTACTCAAGTGTGTTGAAATTACAACTCATCCCACTAGCTCCTGGGCTTCAAGAACTCCTTCCCTCACTCCATGTTCCTGGTCTCCCCCCACCTTCTCTGACCCACCATTGATGGATGAACCTTCAGATACTTACCCCCACTCTCTGCAAATCTCTCCCAATCCCCATGCCCCACATCTGGAGCCCTGCAGCTCAATGGTTAGATCATTCACCTTGCAAGTGAGAGAACCTGCGATTGATTCTCGGGCAGAGCGAAACGTTGAGCAAGTTTTCTTTCTCCAAGTTTACGCCTCTATTTAACCTAGCAGTAAATTGGAACCTGGTTGTTAGCCGATTGGCAGATCGCTTTTCCAGGGGTAATAATCCCTTCAAAAAGAATTAAATAATAATTTGGTCACTCAATCCCCGGCTGTTTGTGGAATACTGCTGTGCACAATTGGCTGCTGCATTTCGCCCACAAAGTATAGTCAATTCACATTACAGTATATTCTATGAAGCGCTTGGAGACATCTTGAAGATGTGAAAAGGCGCTATATCAAATGCAAAGATTATTATCATCATAATTAGTTAGATAAATCTATTTGGAATTAAAGATAAAATCAGTCAAACTTGTTTAACTGTTGTCTGGTTCATTAATAGCAGACTGAATATCAGCAATAAATACATTGCTCAATGGATACTGCTCAGAGCTGTAGATGAGTATCGGATGGGTTGAACACTAAGTGGAAAGTTGCAAGCAATGTCTACTACAAAATGAATAAGAACCAGATCAAGCAGATGTACTGACAGATCACTTATCTTTATAATCTCCAAGATCAGTGAAAATGAGTTGCATAACGGCATGTCTAAAGTACAACTGCCTGGGGAGGTTTGGAAAGGGGATAATAATAATAATGGGATCTGCCCAATTACTGTATGTTATAATGCACAGAAATATGGTACTGCAATAATATACCAAGAAATATTCTGCACTAACTGCACAGAGCAGATGATACAATTTGCTGTCTGAAGTCAATATATCAAGGGAACGGGATTTGGAACTGTGTAGGGGCAGGGAGAGGGTTGGGACAGTGTAAAAAGAGAAAATATTAAAAGGTTCTGGATAAGTGGGTAGTCCCACCTTCACAGGGAATCACAATGGTGTTACAGGAACCATTTCCAAGGTGATATAGCACTTTCACATTCAGCATAATAGTTCACAATGGGACTGATGGGTTTAGTGTTCACGACTTTAAATCAGAGTGAGGGAGCGAAATGTGTCCAGTGATAAGAAGCAAAGGAAAAAGCAATTGGAAACCACAAGATAGAAAATAAATAAAAACAGAAAGAAAAAGGCAATTATAGCTGAATATTTGAGTGTGTGTGTGTGTGTGTATATGGTGTGGGGTGTATGTGTGGTATGGAGTGTATGTGTATGATGGGGGTGGGGGTGTACATGGTGTCGGGTGTGTGTGTGTATGGAGTGTGTGTATGGGGTGTGTGAGTGTATGTGGTGGGTGTATGGTGTGGGTGTATATGGTGTGGGGTGTGTGCGTATTGGATATGTGTGTATGGTGTAGGGTGTGTGGGTATGGTGTGGGGGGTGTGTATGGTGTGGGTGGGTGTAGGCGTGGGGGGGGGGGGATCAATCACAATCCAACACTCCTCTGGAGTATCAGGGTTAAATGCAGACGTGTTCAAGTAGTGGGGGGAGTGTATGTCGTGGGGGGAAGTGTATGTCATGGGGGGGTGTGTGTATGGCGTGGGGGGTGTGTGTATGGCGTGGGGGGTATGTGTATGGCGTGGGGGGTATGTGTATGGCGTGGGGGGTGTGTATGGCGTGTGGGGGTGCTCAATCACAATCCAACACTCCCCTGGAGTATCAGCCTTAAATGTAGATGCGTTTAAGTAGTGCGTGCGTCGTGGAGGGCGTTATATAAAGTCAAGTTGTTGTTGGTGGTGTGGGGGGAGGGGATGGTGTGTGTATGGTGTGGGGCGAGTGTATGTATTGAGGGTGTGTGTGTATATGGGGTGTGTGTGTATGGGATGTGTATGGGGTGGGTGTGTGTATGGAGTGTGTATATGGGGTGTGTGTGTGTATATGGATGGGTGTGTGTGTGAATGGATGTGTGTGTATATGATGTCCGTGTGTATGGTGTGGGGTGTGTGTGTATGCTGCCAGGTGTGTGTGAACAATACAGAGGGAAGAGTGTGGCCTTGATGAGGTAAATTGATCAACAATTTTACCCAATTATTGGAGGCTGATGCTACAACTCAAAGCTGGGTATTTGGCATCGTAGTTAAGGTATAAATTTAGCAGGCCTGGAGATATTAAGCATACTGAATGTACCTGGATTTATGGAGACCCCCCCACCTGCCACACACATTATGTTTTCCGAGAAGCTGGGTCTTTTCATTGGCCTTCTGTTCTGGATTGCTGGAAGATTCAATAAAAGCAACAAGTGCTATCATCGAAATCTGGATGTCCAAACAGTCAGGTAGATGGCTGTAATAAAATTTTGTCTCTGTGGTTGCTCACTCCTCTGCTGGAGCTAGATCTCCTAATCCTAATTCTTTGCTCTTTCCCAAACCCTTCCTTTTATAAGTTTGTCTTCAAACACTTATCCAATTCCTTTAGTAGTTATCCAAATTCCTGGAACGGAATAGTTTATTTCTTAATTAAATACAATAGGTGTGTTATATTGAAGTACATTTACAATAAATCTTAACCATTGCGCCATCAACTGATAATGTACTCAGCTGTTAACAGCTGTTCGCTAGACAAGCCACAGTGAATTAAAATCTTAATCACTTGCTTTGAGTTCAAACAATTCATTTCTTCAGATGTTTAATCCACTGCTTACATGTCCTGGGCATCCCTTTTCTTAAATTCTGTCTGATTTCGATACCACATCACAGCCTAGTTCAGTCACTAGTACTCTTCCCCTCTGGATCAGAACATTGTGGTTTCAAGCCCCATGTCAGTCTAGATTGACAGTCCAGCACAGTGCTGGGAGAAGCCATGAATTGTCAGAGGTGCTGTCCATCAGATGAAATATTAAAAACTGAGCTCTTCAGGTGAGCGTCAAAATCCCATGTTTCTCCCAATCTCCACAGAAACAATCGTCGACTCTCAATCAATTGTTGACTCATGGCTGTTTGTGGGATTCAGTGCCTATAAAGGCGAAATATCTAACGTTTCACAGTAAAACCTGTCAAATGTCGTGACTGTGTATTTGTAGGCAAATACTGCAGCCATACTGCAAGTCCATAATCTGCCATGACATGAATTTATTTGGAAGATTGTTGGTGAGAACAGGAGGATTTCATTTCTAATAGTATTATTGAATCTTTATAAGTCCACCGGAACAGGTAGACGGGACCTCAGTTTAATAACTCAATCACAATCCAACACTTCCCTAACACTCCCTTGGAGTATCAGCATTAAATGTAGATGCGTTCAAGTAGTGGTGTGGGAAGTTGGATGGATAGCTGGACAGACAATTCTGCCCGGTACGTTTTTTCTATCAGAAGATAGAGACCAGATTGCAAGTGGTCATTAGACAAGATAGCCAAATCGCCTGATCAGGTCCACTAAAATTCCCCAAATTTGCCAGAGTTTAATAACCTGGCAATAATCAGTCACAACAAATGACTCCTTGTCCTGAAAGGTAACCTGTGAGTGTGAACTGTACCCAAATAATAAGAATAATCTTTATATTTGATATAGCACCTTATCACGTCTTCCAGATAGAACAAAATGCTTTACAGAATATACTGTAAATTGAATTGACTGTATATTTTGTGGGTGAAACTCAGCAGCCAATTGTGCACAGAAGTGTCCCATAAACACTTGTGGATTGAGTAACCAAATCATTATTTTTAAAAAAAAAATTTTTTTGAAGGAATTATTACCCTCAGACAAATGATCTGCCAATCGACAACCGGGTTCCTACTTACTGCTAGGTAAACAAACAAAACTTGGATTTATATAGCGCCCTCCATGCCAGAAGGTGTCTCAGAGCGCTTCACAATAATGGATCCCGGGGCCAAGCCAGGGAGAGGGGGCAGAAGGTGACCAAAGACGGGGTCGAAAAAAAAGGTCCTTAGCTGAGACTGGAAAATAGGAAGAGGGGGCGAGGCGAAGGGTGTGAGGAAGGGAGTTCCAGAGCCTTAGGCGTACTGAAGGCACGGCCATCGATGGTAGAGCGGAGAA